AACAAATACATTGGCAGTGAAAGTGGTACCAATTTATCTGATAATCCAGCCAAGACTTGTCAATCACAGTCATATCCATTGGGAAAGTGCCACAATGATAATTCAATGCAAATATGGCCTTAAAGATTATTTTGAAACTATATTTGGGAATATTAGTCATAACTGTTAGTCGACTTGCATAAAATCAAATTTCATTCTTTGCTTTTTAGCAATTGCCAAATTATTAATCATGTGCTCATTACTAAGGATGAACACGATTTTTATAACAATATGCCTAATCAATTGATTTTTTTATTAGTTTATTTTTCGTTTTCCTATAAATATTAAGAAATCAACCTACTTTAATAATATTTTATGAAATTTAATTTACGATATCTAATTTTCGACACAACCTAATAATTGAATCTCTTTGGCAATAACCCTGAATTCACGTAACCAAATAAGCACAAATATTACGTTTAATAGAGAAGATTTGATAGCAGTTGTACATCATATGTATGATTGAATAGGTTGAGGTGATAAATTAAAAAAACAAAAAAAAAAGAGAAAAGAAAGAGAGTAAAATCTCGTTCATTACAGCGTGTAGACATTACTAAGATACTTGATCACGTGATCAACCGAAAAAGGTTTTTAAATATTTTGCTAATATTAACTTGAAGGCTACTTATCGGAAAGGAAAAAAGATATTTACATTGTACAAGCCTTATTTCTATAGTATTCGTAAGCCAAAAATGCGTGCTTGCAAGCCCATATTTCATTTAATATTGAAATATTGAAAAAACCAGATTCATTATTTTTTAATATTGAAATAAGCCAAAAATGCGTGCTTGCGCTCAAGATAAGTATACTATAGAAATAAGGCATGTACCTTGTAAGTTGTGAATTTGGTTCGACTCTGGAGCGCCCTCGTTGACTTGCTTATTTGCCCCAGCTTGCTTAAATCCTCGACTTGGACTGAAGGCCTTTCAGCTATTTTCAAGAGGATCTTGAGTTCGATAGAATGTAATCCAAGAACCTTTTCTACATATGCAATGTGCTTAATAGAGGCACGACTCATCCCTGAGGCCATACTCAGTCTAAATTTACACGTCACGTGTAACGTTTTCACCTTAAAATTATTTTGTTAAATAATTCTTTGTTTTTAAACATGTTTGAATATCTTTACGATAACGAAAGAGATCTTGATGTAGGGATTACTTTAACTTAACTAATTACTATTTTCATTTTTGATTAAAAAAAAATTATGTTAAAATTTACTTATTTTTTAATGTTTAAGTTAAGCTTAGCCCATCCTGCAAATCCACCAAAAGCAAAGGAAAACATAAAAACTAAAAAGAAAGAGAAGAATAAACCTCGATCGAAACAATAAAACTCTTATCCATCCTACTGTTTGAGTTCCATTTTTTTCCTCAAATTCATTTTTAATATATATTCTATCATAAAATAATTTTATGAGTAAATTCAATTTTTTTTTTCTATTTTTTAATTAAACATTATTCAAAAAATTACTTTCAAAAAAAAAAAAAATTTCCTCTGAAAATGAGATTCAAACATGGGCTTACTATTCGAAAATTGGCATCACATGGACCTCCAATTCTTCTTTCCCGAAAATGCGTGCTTCCGCGCCCATATTTCTCAAAAGGAGAAATTTCAAGTTCATGCTTTCCTGCCTGAGATAAAGGAAGCACATATTGACTTAGTTCAAACATTTTTGGTATTAAACCAATTTACCCAATAGTTAACCGGAACTAGTGGTAGAGTTTTCTGAAAATGAAATCCCTGCCATGAATTCCTTAGCTAACAGATAACTGATCTGTCGAGAAATATCGATTTTAACTGTCGAGAACAACAATTCATATTGACGGATGACTCAACTGATTCGTCGAGATTTAGTCATCTATAGAGAATAACTGAAACTAATTGTCGAGAACCACGGTAGTCACATAACTGATCTGTCGAGAATTCATAACTGTCGAGACTTTTATTTTTACAAATTAAACAGTTCACTTAAAAGATAGTTATGTTTGTGTTATGAACGAAGTATTGGTAATTAAAAGTGTATATTAGTAAAGAAATGCAAAAAGTCAAATTTATCGACTTCTATAATTAGAGAGATAAATGAACACGCATGTACATACACAACACGAGTATATGAAACCACAACCTTGATGACATTAAAACAATTAGCTTTTGAGTGAATCCAGATATTGATGATTAACTGAAGGGTTTAATTATAATTTTTCTATGCACTTGTAAATGTATATAAATAATTATTCTCAGGGAAATTTTACAGTCAATGAGATCATCAATGACGATTGAAAAAACTAAAGTAATCCACTATAGTAATTAGGGAAAAACATACCATTAATGTCACATCAATACTATCTAAACTGAAATTAGAACCCCCAATAAAACTAAATAACATTATTACTCATTAACAAATTGCTATAGATGAAGTTTATATATGGAATTTGGACTTTCAAATAAGGACATGGTGGTATTAGGATTTTTAAATTTTAAGAGTTTACAATCCACGTGTCAATAGACGGTTGCCATTTCAAATATTCTTTTGCAGGCTAAATAGTGTAGTGTTTCCGTACTTCGTATTTTTATCATTCAATGCTATAATGAATAAAAATTTTCTTTCTTTTAGATTACATGAATTGACAGTTATCACCGAAGAGTTTCAAATAATTGGGACCGTTGAAATTATGATATTGTGAATTAATTTCATGAAATATTATGAAGCCATGTTTCATTTGGATTAAAATTCAATTAAAATTTTAAGTTAAAGTCAACAATTAATTTTAATTACATATTTCATGATATCCAAAAAATTTCAACTAGAAATTTTATCAATTTTTATCAAAATTACTAAAAATCTAATTTTAATTTTTATGGCCTAAAGTATATGGATTTCTTAAAGTTTGTATGAAAAAGAAACTAATGCTCTGTTTGATTGGCTCCCAATTCCTTGGAAAATGGAAAAGCATTTCAAATTCCTTGCAAAAGTGGCCTCACGTCACTTCTTTTCCAATTTTTTAAGGAAAACATTTTCCCATGTTTTTTGTGGTAAATGATTTTCCATCTTTTTTTTTTTTTGTTGATAGAAACAAATTTCATAACTAATTGTAAAAATAAAAAAAATTCACTTTAATGGATAATTTTTATGTAAAACAAAGTCAAACGAATGCTAAACTTTGATAAAAAAAATGNTTTTTTTTGTGATGGAAACAAATTTTATAACCAATTGTTAAAAAAAATTTCACTTTAATAGACAATTTTTATGTAAAACAAAGTTCAGCGAACACTAAATTTTGATAAAAAAATAATTTTGTAGGAAGTTTTTTTTTTTTTTTGTACTTTTTCGGGATGGAAACAAATTTTATAACCAATTGTGGAAAAAATTATCACTTTAATAGACAATTTACATGTAAAACAAAGTCAAATAAACACAAAATTTTAAAATTTTTTGAGTGAAAAATTATACCAATCAAACACACTTAATTAACAATTCCCTAGAAAACAATTTATAGGCAATTACTTTCCATGAAATTCATTTTTTTTCCACCAATTTTTCACCCTTACAATCAAACGGACCCTAATAGAAATTTAATGGGGTTCACTTTCTTTTTCTTTAGAAATTGCTATGGATGAAGTTTAGTGTGTGTTTTTCTCCCATTATTATAGAATAAATGGAGTAATGAATAATATTTTTTGGAGAATGTGTGGTTGAAATTTAAAGTAAATTTATTGGTTTATGTGTAAAATATTTTATTGAGTGAATTTGTGGTAGAAAATTTTATTGTATCAAACAACATTTTGAAAAATGGGAGACAAACGAGGCCTTATATAGAATTTGGGACTTCCAAATAAGGACAAATAGGCATTAGAGTTTTGAAATGTAAGAGCTGTACAATATCATGTGTCAATAGAGAATTGTCTTTTCAAATATTCTTTTGCAGGCTACAAATAGGGTAGTGTTTTCCGTACTGTGTCCTTTTCAATTAATTACTTAGGGCATGTTTGCTTGAATTTTTTGAGATTAAATTTTCTGAAATGATTTTTCTTAAAATATATGTTCAAAAAGTATGAAACAATTATGAATTTATAGATAAATTTATTTTATTAAAAAAATATGTGGTTGAAAATGAATTTAAAAATGTAAGTATCAAACATTGGCTTAAGAATACTATAGAAATAAGGCTTGTACAATGTAAATATCTTTTTTCCTTCCCCATAAGTAGCCTTCATGTTATTATTAGCAAAATAATTTAAAAGCTTTCTTCAGTTGATGACGTGATCAAATATCTTAGTGATGTCTTCACGCTGTAATTTATGAACGAGATTTTACTCTCTTTCTTTTTTTTTTTTTTAATTTATCATCTCAACATACCGTTTGGTGCACATTTTTTGAAAAAAAAAAATGTATTTTTACTGTTGATGTGATGGGGAATATGTGGTTGAAAACGAATGAAAAGTTATTGATGCGATGAAAAATATTATTTTATTAAAAATGTGTGGTTAAAAATGAGTAGAAAAATGAGAATAAAAAAAATAATGTGGCTCATTTAAAAAAAACGTGCATTGCACGCTATTGTTAAAGAGTTTTGTGAGTTTTGCTGGTCTTACAGTTTTGGATCACAATAAGATTCACGGCCTTTTGAATTTGATGACATGGCAATGACCCGACCCAAATAATGAAAAAACGACCCGGCCCAGTACAATTGTTTTCCCCCTGTTTCCCACATTATCCAATTTCCCACCTTCCCCAAATCTCCCCCAAATTGGAGACCACCATTCCCCCCCCACCCACCCACCTCGACGACTGGTTAGCCCACCAACCCTCCCCATCACTGCGCTTCCCGTCGATTCCAGCCACGGTTGTGCCTGCCGGTGGTGTAGCTGTCCTCTCCATCCCTGGTCTCCCCAGCCGCGGTCGTTTTAAACGGAAATCAGAAAGAGAAGAGGCAAATCGAAAATCAGCCTGTCGGTGGTGTTGCCATCCTTCCCAGCCCTGGTAACCTATCCATTATTTTCTCTCATCTTTTTTTTTTTTTTTGACTATTAGTAAAAGAGTTTTGCTGGTAAAATCCTGCTTGGGGCGAGGACTGATTTCGAGTAATGGTGACTCCACATAGGCATAGATGGTCGGATTTTCTAATTGTTGTATAATGGTGACTAATAATTGAAAATTGGGTTCCTCCGGCAAGGTCATTGTTGTGAACGGGTTGAAATGAGATTTTTAATTTTTTGGCTTGTATTCGATAATTTCCAGCTTCTCTGTTGCGACATTGTTGGTTGAATTATTGTTCAATGGATATTTCTAATTTAGTTGATTTTTTATTGCTGTTTGATATTTGCCATCAATAGATATTTCTAATTTCATTACAGTATGTTCTATGTTGCCTATGATTATCATTTGTTGCCTTTGATTCCAGCTTCTATGTTGCCTCTGTATGATTATCATCTGTGGATATTCTGATAAAAGGGTTTGTAACCAGTTTCTTGTGCAGGCAAATGGTATATATTATTTGTGCCTGCTTGGTTTAAGACTACTCTGATGGTAGGAAATAATAAGGAAATTTGTCATAGTTGTAGACAGGTTGGACATATGCTGTCGAAATGCCAGACAATCTGTCCAAATTGTCGTACGGGCTACATCAAATGGATGGAGGTCGAAAAGAACAATGAACATAAAGGGCTACTGTTTCATTGTTATACCCGCGACTGCAAGTATTTCAAATGGTGTAAAAATGAGCCAAACGATAAATGTCCATTGCA